AATCCATTTGTCGATTGCGCGTAAAAATTTAAATATTTGATAATACTTTGTGTGTCTTTTGCAATATGTTTCAAGATATGTCTATTTTCGCTGTGTACCTCATTCCACTCGCATCAGAAATTTAATTTTGCCTGTCTTGTGAGCGCAAAGTGTTTTGAACGGGGAGCGAATGGGTGTTTCTTCCGTTACAAGCAATTTTATCGCTTTCGATAGAGAATTTATTGACGCACACGATACACACGCAGAGATAATCTATTTACTTCGATTAACGTTTGAGGAATCGAATTTCGCGTAATCGGAAGTAAAAAGGCGTAAAAAGTTTTTCTATTGATTTTTTTCTTCTTCTTTTCTGTGTTGACGACGAGATTTCATTTGATTTTAAGTTGAAATCAAATAATGGCGCTCCATTTTACAAACACCGAAATTACTTGAAGTTTACTGAATGGAAAGTTGTTGTTTTTTTTCGGTGGTAATTCAATAAAAAAAGTTTTTACGCTCTTTTGATGGATTGATTATATTCGGTTGGGCCATTGAACGAACGTTATCGCATTCAATTAATCTTGGATGAGTCAATTAAATACACCGCATAAACAATTGTCGTAAACTTTGCGTTTCGATTACATCATAAAATTGCCCAACCGGAATTTTGATACCGAAACCATTGATGGAGAGATATAAAAGGTGGCCGCATTCAGAAAATGCAAGGCAGAGCGCCGTTATTCATTCGATCAAGATAATTGAATTGAAAACCACTTAAATACATCCTCAATAACCATCCTCATATAAATTCCATCCAATCATCGAAAACTTTAAATGCATTTCACTTCAACCACAAAATAATTGCTACCATTGTTTGCAATGGCCATTTCGAACCGGACCGATTATATCAATTTTCAATAGGTCATTCTCTCTCTTTCTCCCCTTCCCCCTCTTTTCGCTGCCGCTCCTCCCTTTTCCTTCCTCTCTCTTTTTCTCTTCTATGTCGCTCTCCGTATCCCTCTTCATCTCCCTCCCGTTTGTCCCTTTCCATGTCTCTCCCTCCATATCTCCCTTTTCTCTTTCCCCCTCTCTCTCCCTCTCGTTCTCCCCTTTCTCTCTGTGAATGTGGTTAATAAATTACCACTTCCTATACCCGATTTAAACTTCAGCTACGTTCATTTTATCAGCTTTGCATAAATCACATCCAGCAATTATGCTTATACACATTTCGGTTATCGTATTATTAATTCCCCGCAATTTTTCTGGCCCGAGTGTGCTAGACATTCTCAACGAGATTGGGGTTAAGTCATATTCGATTTTATTGCCACTTATTATTATCATTATGACCAACTTAAACCGCAAATCAGCATAATTTCCCTCACGTCCATCGATATCCATCACTTTCGTTTAACCTTTTTTCGCATTTTTTCCAGCGTCAATATTTTTTCCCGATTAATAAGATTAATTTATTAACCATATCGACTTTAACGTTTAACAACGGTAATCCGTTATGAGAATGTTTTTTTTTAACCCAATTTCTGTTCGTAAAATTTTTTTCTGAAATGTAATTGTATTTTTAAAATGTCATTTTACGTTCATCGAATTTTCAATTCATCGAAACTTTCCATATTTAATTAATAAAGTTAATTAAACGAATTGACAACCAGTTCTGCTTTGAAACTTGCAACTATAAATTCGGTCTGGATGTCTATTTCACCATTTGAAATTAGCGTTAGACAAAACTACATTATTCAGTTTAAGTCCAATTTTTCTTTTGAAACTTGTTCATTGTTTCCCTTGGCCCGGTAGAAAAACATTCGTTCCGTTGATTGAGCGCTTGTTCCAAAACTTGCGATTGGCTCTAGCTAGTGTAGAAGTGATTTTCAGGCAAATAAAACAAATTGATGAGAACGTGCAATTTGCAAATTTTACGGGCGAATAAAAAAAATGACTGCATTGTTGCCGGAAGCATTTCGAAGGAAGCCAATGCACCTTTTCATTATGCAACTAGCTATGGTTATACCACTCCAACAAATCAAATAAATTCAAATCCGGACCCGACATACAAAAGCGCTGAGAATGCTCCTTGTCGAAAATGAGTCGGAAAAAGAGAAAATATATATATGAATTGAATCGACAAAAACAATTACGAAACTTATGAAATAAATGTTATTCAAAAGTTTGACGATTTTTCTTTTTCGTTCACCTTTCAACTGCTTGCTAGCTATGCAGTTTTGTGCGTGTTTTCTCATCGTTTCTGCATGTTTTGATAGTAGCATTTTGGTTCAAGTAGCACAAATGCTTTTGCAACTCATTTTATGGCAAACAGCACTTTTCAAACAAGTTTTTTTTACTCATTTTTTGTTTGCTCATTCAACAGCTCCTTTTTTTGGCTGAATATTGGTGCTTCGTAAAGTTATTTCAATTTAACGAGAGGATGGGATAGATGGAATGATTGAGAGCGATCCAAATCAAGACAAAGGTTACATTTTTGTGATTGAAATGCTTGGTCTCGCAAATGAAGTGACTCATTTTGAATTGAAAGACATAATGAAACGCATTTCAAGTGAATTTCAAAAGAAAAAAGAGGAAAAACAGAAAAAATTGGGAGATTGTGTCTTTCCTGAAGTCTTCGTCGTGATTTAAATAGATCTTTTCACATCGAAACTCTTTTTTTCAGAGATTCTTCGTTTTGTGACGATTTTGATGAGTTGTCAAAACTCCCAGCCTTCAAATTTACACAGTTTTATCATTTAAAGTCAACAATAACCCCAAAAAATGCGATTTTCCATAAAAAGTCCAACGGAAATTCAATTAATTTCTTGTAAATTCACAAATTGACTTCGATTAGGTAAACATTTCCGGGCGGTGAAAAAATGCTGAAATCCAATCGTATTGACCATATCTCCTTTGTTTTCCATCAGCAACAAAAAGTCACGATTCATCACCATCCAATTTGATGGTGTTGATAATAATTTAAGTGCTCTATTTGATGAGCATTTCATCGTCGCTTATTTGGTCGGGGTGGTCGTTTGTTTATGAAAATATCGTATTCGCCGCTAATGTGCCATTAATGTGGTGAACATCAAACTGGAACGCAATTAAGCGTTTGCAAGCATTTGAAATGGATTTCGCGCCTCAATTTCTATGTTCGCGCGCCATAAAAGTCCCTCGTTCGGAATTTTTTTTTCTCGCAAGCACAGAAATAATTATATGAACGCTCGCATTGGTGGGGAATTTTATGTGCCATTTTCATTACATTGCATTACGTGCACATTAACTATCATCAAAGAGCAATCGCAATTGCAGCGAATGTGCAAACTGCAGTCGCACTGCACACGCCATCCCCATGAAATACATGTAAATCGCAGAAAAAACGGAACAGTTGAAATGAGCACGGGGAAAAAAAGCAAATAACAAAAGCCGAATACAAAGCACTTTCTTACGGGAGCGAGAGCGAGAACCAGAGAGATAGAGAGAGACTCAGAGATAGAGAAAAGAATACGATTTCTTTTATTGTTCAAGTCTTTGTGCATTGTTTTGCTCGAAGGAACAGAAAAAATATCGCTTTTAAGAAATTCCAATTTCTTCCATTGAAACAACGATAACAACGAGCAGAATACACAAAATAAAATTGCATGCACAGATGATAAAAATACGCACACATAGCACACAGCTCACATACGTAGTTATAAAGAGATTCAAATCTATAATCATTCGTTGTAGAATGCACTGCTGACTTTGGCAAAACAATAAAAGAATTCACTTAATAAAATTGCATCGAAACAGCATGCTACTGTTACTGCTTACTTTGTGATATGAATGACGGCGCTCTGAACACGAAGATTTTTTGCCGAAGAAGATGCAGGAGAATAGGAAATTTACTGAATTTATGGATTGAAATAAGGGAAGACAATCCAAACGAAAACGATTCGTTTGCACTTTTGCAACAAAAAAGCCAAACCAGAAATTGCAATTGTTGTTTGTAACCGTGAGTGCACTGAGCTTTGTGACGAAAGTACTACTAATGATCAGACCCTTTTTTAATCAATTTGTCATAAAAATACTTGTTTTTTGAGTTTGCTCTGCCAGCATTGATTAGTGGAGCACTTGATGCACAAATATTCCACTTTTTTCACATATGAAGTTTGACTTCATAAAGTTAATAGTAGAGCAATAGCAGTAGTCTGTAGTAGAACTTTTAAGTACGGAAGAATTGAAAATATCCCCCACATCCACAAAATGTATCCACAAAATTCGTATTTTTATTAATCTCAGTTTGCCGAAAGAAGAGCAAATTGTAGCTCTAGAGCCTGCTCTATATTCTTTCTGTCACTTGAAACTTTTTCACACTTCAAAACATTCTTTGAACCTCAAGTGTCTGATATGAAAAGCGTGTATGTGTGTGTTTAAAATGACGATGTTATAATACCCATTGAAAAAACATTTCGCATAACTCAATTTTATTAATATGTGATAATCTCTTTCGATTGCTTGATTGCGACGCAACATATAATTTTGGTTCAATCAACGGAACTTAAGCATGCTAACCAGACGGAAATTTTGAAATGCGTTTATTTGTTAACTAAGCGTGACAACTCTTTATTATTACTTTTTCACGCAGCTAGCGTGGGAAATTAAGAAACAAATATTATTGATGACTTTCCGCAGAAGGATTAGTACCAATGTTCACCAGAAAACATCTGCATATTTCGGGTTCATAGGTGCGGAGATGGCGGTTCCGTGTTTTACATGTCATTTCCTCACATGCGAAGAAGTCTTTGCACCTATGCTTCGGGTTTCTTCGACTAACAATTTTTCCCTTTAATATTCTGCTTGAAAAAGCATGATTATCTGTTTTACACACAGGTCCATTTAATTGTTATTTTCCCTACAATATTTGCGATAAGTATTTCCGCATTTAAACCATTTACGTTATCACACGAACTGATACGAATCATTCGAATTCAGCGTATATAAAGTGAGATCGTTCATTTTAGTTCCATTCATTAGCTCAAGCAAGAGCAGTAACTTTCATTTGAATTCGTTAAAGAAATATTGTTTGAAATTGAAAATTATGTTTATCGTAAAAACGAGTTTGCTATTGTCGACATTTTTGTTCGCCTCAGGTATTTTTTCCGGAATTTTCTCGACCAAATTTACTGAATCTTCTTCATTATTCAAAAATTTTGAGTTTTGATCTTAATTAAATGATTTCATTGTGGATATAGGTGGCCTTGTTGGCTTTGAACCAAAACCCAAACTGGATGGACGAATTGTTGGTGGGTTAGTTCAATTTTTCCAATTTGAATAACAAAAAAAAATCATTTATTACCTAAAAATCACCACCGTTCATCGATTTCCTTCTTTTTGTTAGATTTTTAATTGACATCAAACAAGTGCCGTGGCAAGCAGCATTTGAGACACGCGACAGTCATCATATTTGTGGTGCATGTATCATTTCCGACCGATGGTTGTTAACTGCAGCACATTGCTTGGCGTAATTTTAATTCAATAAACATTTTCCCCCATTTCCTGCCTTGTTCAACCGTAAATCATCCACATCGTTTCATTTTCAGAGAGTCTATGGTCCCGTTGGAGAGTCTTATCATTCGCACTGACAGCTCGGTGTCCGGTGAAGGTGGCACGATACACAACATCAAACGAATCATTCCTCACGAAAACTATAATCCACAAACTATCGAATACGATTTTGCGTTAATTGAACTCACCGACTCAATTGAATTTAATAATAAGCTAGCAAAACCAATTGCATTGCCAAATGCATATGAAATTCTGCGTGATGACACAATGTGTCTTGTGAGTGGATGGGGCTTAACGCTGAAGGAGACCGAATCATCGAAATACCTTAGAGGTGTTGAAGTTCCAATTGTAAATCAAGAAAAATGTCGGAAGTTATATCGCGGTTTTATCACGTCAAGTATGATTTGCGCCGGTTATGATGAAGGAATGAAAGATGCATGCACTGGTAAAATCATTTTATACAAATTAAATGGGAGATTTTATAAATAAATAATTAATTTTGTTGTAAAAAGGTGATTCGGGCGGTCCACTTGCTGCTATTGATGAGACCGACGGAAGTGCCGTCTTGATTGGTGTGGTTAGTTGGGGAAGCGGATGTGCACAACCAAACTATCCAGGTGTTTATGGTCGGGTTGAAACAATACGCGATTGGATTCATGAAATGACTGGACTTTGAGATTAATTTTGATGCTTGCATTTTTTTATAATAAAATAAAGGCACATTTGTTGAAGCAATTTGGTGTTTATTTTTTTAAAGCACAAAAAATTAGGAGCGCACAATTTGTACGATGACTTGTCTTAAAAAAGACAGTGAATTGAACCAATTACTATATCTTATTTGTTTTGAATTGATAAGTTCCCTTTGGAACGCATTCACATTATCACCCATTCAAAATTTACCAAATAATGATGTGTCATCGGAACATGCGGTAATCTTATCCGATTCATTTGATTGCAATTGAAATAATCCGATAGATCAGCCTTGAAGTTAAAAAAACCAATTACTAAGCGTGTGAAAAAACGCAAATTTCAAATGTTCCTTTCAGATAATATTCGCAGCCTCCATTTGAACTTCATTCAACCCAACAAGTATGCGATTCGAAGCATTAATAATTAAGCATATTTCACGCATTATTTCAACTTAATTGTTGTTTTCCAGTCGATGGTTGATTGCCCTTATCAAGAAATCAATAAATCATTGATAACAACAAATTTAAGAATACCTCTTATCACATGAAGTATTCGGCAAGTGATACGAATCATTAAAATACGCCGTTTTATAAAGCGAACTCGTTAGGCAGTACATTCAATAGCTAGCAAGAAGTTTGAGCAATAACTTTCATTTGAACTTTGGTGTGCTGTTTGAAAAACATTCCGAATATGTTTATCGTAAAAACTTGTTTGTTGTTGTCGACATTTTTCTTCGCCACCGGTATTTTTTTCGCGGAAATTTCTCGAATCTCCTTTATTTTACAAAACTTGATGCTTATTACTTAAATTATTTTGGCATTTTACAGGCGGCCATGTAGGCTCTGAACTAAAATCTAGACTAGATCGATTTTATTGATTTTCAAAAAAGTTACATAATAAATTTTATGAGAACTGACTTCTTTTTCAGCGCCGAATTTTTAAGCAAAACAACCGTCTCAATGGTTTAGAAGTAGGAAAATGTATAAGAAAATTGCAGTTTGTCCCAAAATGTAGCTTTTGTTTATTCAATAAGAATCATTCAATGTAATAAGAAGGGCATTTGTCAAACGCATCAATTATTCGGAATATTGAGACAAACAAAAAATCCAATTTCGAGTCCATGTTTCTTTCAAAATGTTGCCAATTCAATTTCATTCCATGTCTGTTATTTACAAAATTCTTCCATATATATCGTATAATTCCAAAAATCGCATAAATTCCCCAAAAGCAAACAAGAGTTCGTTTTCCGGCAAGAATGTTGCATATAAATTGTTTGTCTGCATACACATATTATTCGTTGCGAAAACATTACGAAAAATGTACACGGTGTTTTATTTGGTGAAAAACATGCGGAACTGAATGAGAAAAAAGATTGTTGAATACGTAAAGTATTTGGCGAATCAAAATATCGCTATAAATTTAGTAGCGCAAACAGGTTTTTTTTCCTCCTCACAGTTGTGAGTCTCTTTTTTTCTCATTTACTCTGCTTGAATGCCGGTGTGTTTGCTGGCTGGGAAATGGTAATAAAATGCAAATGAATTTTGTTTCGTTTCCACTAAATAATGATGAAAAATATTGCATTTCATGTTGTCTGCCACGCCTGATGGCTGCAATGTGGGTTTACAGAGAAATTCAGAGCAATCGGGTAATTCCGGCAAAATTGAAACACAAATTCTTATCGATTGCAGTTGAAACGATCATTTCTTTTGATGTTACTCTTCCGCATGCTTTCTCTCCTTCCCCCCGTATCTTTTTCACTCACTCTTTCACTCTGTATGTCTCTCTCTTTCTAATATTAAAGAGTCTCTAGGCAACCTTAGTCATAAACTCACTCCTTTTAGCCAAAGTGAAACTCCAATAACGAACATCTGATGCAACAGCGAGAAAGACCGAGCTTCGGATTTTGATTGGATATTGCTATGTTTTGTAGAACAAACTTTGGCTCAATTAAAATAGAAATGTTTCATTTGCTTTGAAAAGAGAGTTTTAAATGCTTGAAACGATGCCAGCGGCTGATCAGAGTTATTAAGTTAATTTCAGAGAGGATTTTGTTTGTGTGTGTGTGCTTTTGCCCGTACACCATACAATTTCTATCAGTGAGACTTGCCGCTGCTCGTTTGAAGCTCAGTGTTAGCAGCTGCAACGTGCGCCAAGCACCAATGCTTGCATTGTTGATCGGCCCAAAAAAATGCTAAAAGTTGCACACTGTAAACAGCAAAACCGAGTAGAGAAGCAAAAAATAGTGATGGTGTGGTAAAAGAATGCACGCGTGAGGAAAGCATTATCATCTCCGTTTTGTTGTTCATTGTATCGCGTTCGCGTGACGACTGACGCCATTTCCATTTTCGGGGTTTTATTTTAATTAATTCATTACAAGTCAAATTGCTAGCTGTGAACACAAAATGCTTCGGTTTTAATAATATTTTTTTGTTATTTCATTTTGCTAAGCTTCGTTTTATTATTGTATGTCTGTTCACCATTCCGACCTCAGTACAGTGTACAGACGTTGTCATGCACAAACATTGTATGTATGCATGTGTCATGTTTCGTGACTTTTCCACTTTGTCTTATTCCCGTGGTATGTCGATTCTTTATCATTCCATTCTTTTAATTCACATTTTCCATGCCATTTTCATTTCACTATCATTTTTACACCAACAAAAAATAGCAACCGTATCGTTTTTAATTTCGTTAAAATAGACAAATTCATTAAATATTATATGCTTTTTACCATGTCTGGGTAAAAACGGTGCCAAAAAAACAAACAAAAACCGAATTTAATAGAAAAAGTTGGTGGGAAGCAACAAGAGTGGTTCACTTTGTTTGCAAAATGCATACACAAAGGTGAACGTAATTTTCGGTATGACACACACAGAAACTCGTTAGTAACGAGTCGTTGCGAAATTGAAAATGTTGCACCGAAAAAAGTTGGGCGAAAAATGCAGGTAAATTAAGATTTAATTCGAAATGACAAAAGCGAATTTGATAATAGAAATAGAAAACGAATGCGCCTTGCGGCCATTTAAAGGAATGTTCAATAAAATTTCAAAATATATGAAGAAAATAGCCAAATGAAACCGCAAAGAATAATAAACTAAGGGAATTTAACTCTTTTAACAAAGATGAAGAGGAAATAGGTTATGCATAAATTGAAAAAATCCAAAAAATCTGCAGAAAAATTGAAAATGAAAAAAAAAAACAAATCTGAAAAGATGAAAAATGACCAAAAATATTTTTTTTTTCCTCTCCAAAAGAGCCGAAAAATTATATTAGAATAAATCGATGGACGAAAAATGAAAACAGATGAGAAAAAGCTGTAGAAGATTCCAAAGTAATGGTTGCAAAAAAACCGAAAAGGATCTAAAAATTGAATACGGTTCGGTACGAGTGAAAGCGTTAAAAGCACCGGAAAATCGACGACATAGATTAAAAGCGATAAAGTTAAAATGAAACATGATGTAAAATCGAAGCAAATATCTAAACGTGCAATTCATTGAGATTGGTTGTTCGATTTTGCTGGAAGCGTGTCAAAGGAAAATCCATGTGATTGAGAGCAGAGATGAAAAAAGTGCCATTTATCCGGATGAATTCTTTTGAAAAAAATAGCGTTTTGATTTGAAAGTAGCAATTCACACCTGGAGGTTGTTCTTTTTTTTCGTCTTGCTTTTACTTCGTTGTTTCGCAATTTGTTTACCGGGGGTAATTTTAATCGGATTTGAACGGATTATTATCGAAAATTGAGTTTGATGCTTTTTTCTCTCTCTCGCACTCAGTCACTTTACGTTGTAATAGATCTA